TAGCTGGTGTGTTTACGACAACTATTGTATTTCGAGAGGAAAGTCATCCAATAACTATTTACATAGTACCGAATTTGTCTCAAAATTTAATATTGGGTATAGATTTTTGGAAGCGATTCAATCTACTTCCAACATCCTTGTTGAACAATATTTCAAGTTTAGCCTTATTTAACAGTAATCCATTGGATCAAAGAGAACTAACTACAGATCAAAAATATTTACTTCAGTCCGCCATAGATAAGTTTCCTTCGTTCGCGAAAGAGGGTCTAGGGAAAACTAGTCTAATTTGCAAGTCCTTGGTCCTCTCCCATTGTTCTACATAGGAAACCAGGGAAAAATCGTTTGTGCCTCGATAGTAGGAAGTTGAACGCCGTGACGGAAGGGGATGCCTACCCACTTCCGCATATAGAGGGTATTTTGAGTCGTCTGCCCAAAGCAGAATATATTTCTAGTCTCGACTTAAAGGATGCTTTTTGGCAGATACCACTAGACGAATCGTCGAAAGGTAAGACTGCCTTCACAGTTCCTGGGAGACCGCTCTATCATTTTAAAGTAATGCCGTTTGGCTTATGCAATGCGCCGCAAACCATGTGCCGACTCATGGATAGAGTGATACCAGCGTCTCTCAGGACTGAGGTTTTGGTCTACCTGGATGATCTACTAGTGGTATCTCCAACCTTTGAGAGACATATGGAAGTATTGAAGGAGGTAGCTAATTCTCTTAGAATGGCAGGACTGACAATAAATGTCGAAAAGAGCAAATTTTGCATGAAAGAAGTTCGCTATTTGGGTCACGTAGTAGGGGAAGGTACCATTCGTACAGATCCGGATAAAATTTCGGCTATAACCGATTTTCCAACCCCGAGATCTGTTAAGCAGGTGAGGCGTTTCTTAGGTATGTCAGGTTGGTACCGAAAGTTCATTAGGAACTACGCTTCTATTTCGAGCCCTTTAACAGACTTATTAAAAACTAATCGTAAATTTATATGGACCAATGAGGCCCAAAAATCATTTGAAGAGTTGAAATCCATTCTTAGCACAGCCCCTGTCTTGCATAGTCCTGACTTCACACAGCCGTTTTTCATACACTGTGATGCAAGCAAGACAGGAATAGGAGGAGTTTTGGTGCAAAAGAATACGGAGGGTGACGAGTTTCCCATAGCCTTTATGTCTAAGAAACTCAACCAAGCCCAACGTAACTATAGCGTCACCGAACAGGAATGCTTAGCAGCAATGCTTTGCATCAAAAAGTTTAGAGCTTATGTCGAGGGACATGAGTTCACGGTGATCACCGATCATGCTTCTCTTAAATGGCTCATGTCCCAAACCGACTTAAGCACAAGGCTGGCTAGATGGGCATTAAAACTTCAATGTTATCGGTTCAAAATAGAGCATAGGAAAGGCTCCCAGAATGTAGTTCCTGATGCGCTTTCGCGTACCAACACTGAAGATCTCTCTGAGATTCATTGGTTATCTGAAGTGGCGAATACTCAAGGTGTTTTTGTGGATTTGAATTCCGAACATTTTTCCTCAGAGGAGTATAAAGATCTTTTAAGGAGGGTTGAAAGTAACAAAAATTTTACTCCCGATCTAAAAATAATTGACGGCTATTTATATCGACGAACAGATCATGCTGTAGGTGATCCACTTATTGACGATTTGGCATGGAAGCTCTGGATTCCACCGAGCATGGTTCCCGAAGTCCTTCGTAAACATCACGATGATCCTTTGTCTTCTCACTGTGGTATCGGTAAAACTCTGGAACGGATACGACGTTATTATTTTTGGCCAAATCTTGTTTTTGATGTTAAAAATTATATAAATTCGTGTGAGGTGTGCAAAAGTACAAAGCATCCTAATTTCACTATGCGACCACCTATAGGAGATACAGGTATGACCCATAGGTTTTTCCAAAGATTGTACGTCGATTTTATAGGACCTTATCCAAGATCTCGTACCGGAAATATAGGGATATTTATTGTCCTTGACCACTTCTCCAAGTTTTGTTTCCTTCGTCCAGTGAAAAAGTTTACAGCGGATGCTGTTATAAAATACTTAGAAGAAGACTTATTTCACACATATGGGGTACCTGAGAGCATTATATCAGATAATGGTACACAATTCAAAGGGAAGAAATTCAATGAACTCTTGGATAGTTATAAAGTAAACCATATTTATACAGCGGTTCATTCTCCGCAAGCTAATTCGTCAGAAAGGGTTAATAGATCCGTAATTTCCGCTATTAAGGCCTATGTTAGATCAGACCAAAAAGATTGGGACGAAAAACTTAGTCATATAGCATGTGCATTACGGTCAACAGTCCATACATCCATTGGGACTTCCCCATACTTTATGGTATTTGGTCAGCATATGGTCACTAATGGATCGACTTACAGTTTACTAAGGAAATTAAATGCGTTAGAGGATAGATCCATCAGTTTCAACAGGGATGATTCGTTTAACATTGCTAGGAATAAAGCAATTCAAAATATGAAGAAAATATTTGAACGCAACGAAAAGCAATACAACCTTAGATCACGAGAAGTGTCATATAAAGTCGGACAAGAAGTTTTCAGAAGGAACTTTAGCCAGAGTAACTTCGAAAAAGGTTATAATTCGAAATTGGCACCGACCTTTATAAAGTGCAGAGTTCGTCGGAAATGTGGTAACTGCAATTACGAACTCGAAGACCTCCAAGGCAAATTAATAGGTATTTACCACGCAAAGGATATTAGGCAATAACCGGTATCTACATGCGGTATCATCCTTAACTTCTTTTTTAGCCGTTAAGTCTGATTTTGGCGGGGGGTAATGTAGTGGCGCATGTAGACACTTGAAAAAAACAAATCTCATTTCTATTTTATTTTATTTATTTTTTTTGGCACACCATAGTTCTATGTTGGGACACCTCTGTTCATTTGCATTGCATTAGCTAATGTTAACTTGCATTTATTTATGTTAAATTCCCTATTCTCAGAGACTTAGGAATGCAGTTCTATTATTAGAACATTAAAATGCATTCTCATTCACTTTAATATATCGTATTGTATGCTAGTAACTTCCGAGGGGGTGTGCTAGATACTTTGCTAGCCTCGCCCCTATCTCGTCGGTAGCCTAGTGGGAGTGTCTCTGGTTCCCATCCGTGAGACCCAGGTTCGAATCTCACTACGGGTAAAAATTTTTTTTGTTTTCTTTTTATTTTTTTTATTAATGGAAACGATTATTTTTTGGTTTATTTGGTCTAAAAAAAATAATGGTTTCGAATACCAATGGTGTATTTTCAATCATATACATTTTCGGAGTCACCTAATATACCTTTGGTTGCTATAATTTCCCCTTACAAGGGTGGTGAGAAATTATGCTTTTCTTCTTCCACTTATTTATTAGTTTATTGTTAACCAATACGTTTGCGTATTTTTTGTAATGAAATGTTGAAGTATTGGTAATTCGAATGAGCCATGTTTGATTTTGGAAGTTTTTTTCATGTATTGATATTCAGCCATAATCTTAGTGTAATAACCGAGATTACAAAAGGAGGTAGCAGAGGAGCCATCTTGGTCATTTTCGAGAATCTTTTGGTTAGTGAACACTAAATTTTTTTAATCTTGTTGGCGAAAAGAAACTTCTATTGGTTGCTCCTAATATCCCAAGTGTTTTTTTATTAAACTGGCGGAGGAAAAAAAAAGCTAACAAAATCATTGATTTTGTTTAAAACAATTTTTGGTGCAAACGTTGTGTTTTTTTTGTGCAAACGTTTTGACCTTCCGATTGGTTTACAACATCCCCTGGTCGTTGGATTGGAGCTCCATATATTTCCTGGGTCTGCAGTTTTTCTTTTATATCCTGGTGATACCATAAAATCAGGAATTTAACATAGTCATTGGTGAGATTTCTTTATTATATGAAAGCCCTATTTCCTTAGCGCTGATTTTCTATTGTGCATTTCAATCTGTTTTTAGGAATACCCTTTTCCCCGTTGCATTTTGCATACCGACCTCCGCTTCACTCTACAAGTGTGTTTATTTGCCCAGAGAGGAGACTGAGATTCTGACTGAGGTTGGATTTAGTTGATAGAGTGCGTTGGTTTCAGCGAGTGCTGCCGATTACATCTCGCAGAAAGTAAAGTTCGGCATAGAAATTCTGTGATTTAGTTCATGAAATGGTGCTTGAAGAAGTTTTTAATATCCAAAAGTGTATTCACTAAAAAAACAAGAAAACCTGCTTAAAATTTGCTTGAAAATCCAACATAAATTGCTTTGAAAAAAAAGAAAAATTCTAACATAATTTTTGTTATAATAATTTAAGAGAGAGAGAGAGAGAGAGATAAAAATATATTGAAAGTGAAACAATCAAATTTGAAACAAAACGAAAAACCAAAGAGCAAAAGTGTGTGTGTGTACTTGGTAATGTAAAAAAAATCATAATTTTCTATACCTTCTTCTTGTAAAAAAAAAAAAAAATAACAACAAAAATATAATCAGTACTAGAAGAAGAAGAAGAGTAACACCAAATATTGAAATACGCATTTACTTAAACCATATCGTATAAAGAGATTGCTGATCGCTTTGCTGTTACCCCAGTTCGAAAGGCCTTTCATCGTGGGAGTTCAATCGATCAACAAGTAAGTTCGTATTCTCTTATATCGTACCGCATTGAACAAGCACAAATCATTGGTTTTTTAGTGAGAGTAACTGTTCCGTTATCTCTCTTGGTATTGCCTATTGCACTCATTTAATTGAGAATATTCATGATAATTTATAAAATAATAATTATAAATTATTTTAAATTATTTTAAAAACCTAATTAATTGAATTAATTACTGTATTAATTCTTTTAAAGGATTCCTTTATTTGTGTTTGTTCAATGTTAATTTGTTTCCTGTGTACATACGATTGCCAATGGATATGCCAATGTTACACTGAACAATAACAGACGAAGTGCTGTTAACCTACCTTCGTTAACATCTCAATGAGAGCTACAGTTTTGAAAGCACTGTTTGCATTGCTTCTACTGTATGTTTCATTTATATTTATTTTTGTTTGAATTAAAAATTATTAAATTAGATTTATTTACTGGCATATCTGTTGACATCGGCAATTAAATAATTATTTTTATATTTGGTGTGATTATTGAATCAAATTAAAAAAAAAAAACGGAAAAAACTATTTGATCAAATCGACTGCTGTTAACATACTCGTATGTATGTATGTTTGTACATACGGTTGTAACAAAGCAGGTCGTTGACACAACAGCTGATTTGCTGTAAAACAAAAAGCAAATGTAACGATCATACACACATACATTTTTCTTTTGCGTTACATACTGATATGAAATATTTTTGTTTGATGATTATTTGATTGTTTTTCTCTTCGAATGTTTTTATTGAAAATATGATAAATTTTGATATATAAAAATAATGTTATGTTTTTGATATAATTTAATTTAATTATTTAATTTTTTTATTTTCCCTTCAAATTTCAAATATGATCTTATATACCTAAAATTTTTGAAATTAAGTTTTTTTCATGATTTTTTTTTTTTTTTGTAGAATTCACAATTATTAGGTTTGTTTTATATTTTCTTTTGTGATTATTTTTCTGATGCGTTAGGATTATGGATTTATTATTATTCTTGAATTTAGTATTACAATTTAATTCGAATTTCTTTGAGATTGTATGATTTTGTTGTACCTAGCTATAGGCTGAAAAAAATGATATTTTTGATTATGAATAAAAATTGGAATTATTGGAATATGGCTTAAACGTTTTTTGAGGTTTGATTTTGAAGGGTAGGAAAAGTGGGAGTATAAAAAATGGGTTTATCATGATGTCTTTGATTTTGTTTACTTTTTGGTGGATCATTTGATAAACAGGATGGGTGGGCTTCTCATGCAACTACCAACTATGCATGACTGTTACATACTGTGATGACAATTAATCCTCTTTTCTTTCTTTTCTGTCTGGACTATAGTAGATTTTCCTCTAGTTTTTCTCTCTTTTAAGTATCTTTCTATTTTTCTTATGAATTTGCACGCATTATATTATTAAACTGGTAGTGACTACGGACAAGAAACAAATTGAATTTTGGCAAAGATCCCCCCCATACGACGAGCAATAAGGCTGGAATAATATGCGTGCCAGGCCATGGAATTCAATCCGATAAATTTGCATAGCAATTTCAACCTAGCTATCCGATACATACTACAAGTCTTAGAACCAAACTCAAAACGCGGAACAAATCAGATAACTATTTTAATATAAACCAGTAAGGAAAGTAGTAAAGTCGGACTGGGCCGACTATATGATACCCTTCACCACTTAGAGTATATTCTACATATATATCATAACAAACGTCGCGTCTTTGTTATATATCTATATCTGAACCAATTTCAGGGAAACATTCAAGACTTAATTCAGTACGATATGCCAAAATTCGTACAAACGAAAATATTTCCAGGGACTTTAGTGCACCATTCACCTAAAATCGGGAGAAACTATATATATGGGAGCTACATGTAAATTTGAACCGATTTTCATGAAACTTAGCACACATCATTCTAGACTTATTTCAGTACGCTATGCCGAATTTCATGCAAATCGAAAGATATATAGGGACATTGGTTCACCATTTACCTTAAATCGGACGAAGATATATATGGGAGATATATCTAAATCTGAACCAATTTTCAGGAAACATAACACACATCATTCTAGGCCTAATTCATTACGCTATGCCAAATTTCGTGCTAATCGAAAGATATATAGGGTCTTTGGTTCACCATTTGCCTTAAATCGGACGGAAATATATATGGGAGCTATATCTAAATCTGAACCGATTTTCAGGAAACTTAACACATCATTCTAGATCTAATTCATTACGCTGTGCCAAATTTCGTGCAAATCGAAAGATATATAGGGACTTTGGTGGATCATTTACATTAATCGGACGAAATCGGAGTTATATCTTAATCTGAACCGATTTTCAGGAAACTTAACACATATCATCCCAGACCTAATTCATTACGCTATGCCAAATTTCGTGCAAATCGAAAGATATATAGGGACTTTGGTACACCATTTAAATAAAATCGGACGAATATATATAAATATATATATATGCGACTTATCTAAATCTGGACCGATTTTCAGGAAACTTATCATACATCATTCCATAACTAATTCATTACGCTGTGCCAAATTTCGTGGAAATCGAAAGATATATAGATGCTTGGTGCTCCATTTACGTTAAATCGGGCGAAAATATATATGGCAGCTATATCTAAATCTGGACCAATTTTCAGGAAACTCAAAACACATCATTCTAGACCTAATTCGGTACGCTGTACCAATTTTTCCCAATTTCAATAGGGTTCGTCCTTGGGCCATGTAAGTGACCTTTGCCAAATTTCATCCAAATCGGTTTATAAATGCGACCTGTACTTTGTTCACAAAAAGACATGGACGGACGGACATGCATAAATCGACTCAGAAAGTGATTCTATGCATATTCTCAAAAGGAACCATGGATCTATGTCGAATATTTTTGCCTGTTACAAACATATGCACAAAGATATAATACCCTGTACAACAGAGTGGTGAAGGGTATAAAAAGGGGGTTATATGGGGACTACCCCAAAAAGGGGGGCAAATATTAATAACTTTTGGTAGAGAGATTTGTTACCCTATACGACTACAAAATACCAAACTGCAGCAAATTCGGTTGAAAAACGCGCTCAAGAACCCAAAAATACCGAAAATTAGATGTACCCTTATATGGGGGCTATCCAAAAAAATGGACTTATATTCATAATTTTTTTGTGGAGAGATTTGGTACTTATTAAGAACTCAAAATATTAAATTACAGCTAATTCGGCGGTAAAATACGATCAAGACGCCCAAAATACTGAAAATTAGGATGTACCGTTATATGGGGGCTACCAGAAAAAGTGTACCTATATTTATAATTTTTTTTTGTGGAGAACGCGCTCAAGAACCCCAAAATACCGACAATTTGGGGGTACTCTTACATGGGAGCTATGCCTAAACGTGGACCGATAAAGCCCATCTTCGAACTTGACCAACCTGCAGACAAAAGACGACTCTATGCAAAGTTTTGGCGACCAAATAAATTAGTTTAGACGCTAAAGCGATTACAACAGACAGACGGACATGGCTATATCTATATCTAGAATTTTACGCTGATCAAGAATATATATAGGGTCGGAAATGACTATTTCGATGAGTTACAAACGGAAAAACAAAATTAATATACCCTCCATACATGGTGGAGGGTATAAAAACCTATAAATACTTCAATAAAACTTTTGGACCTTGGAAAGACACCTTCAAAATCCCAGCTATAGGATTTTTGGATCTTAAGAAGAATATATTCAAAAACATGAAATGCCTTTGAGTGTTTCACATAAAACACACCTATTGTCCATTTTGCCTCGCATAATATAATACATCAACAATTTTGTAAATAAGCAATACATTTCCGGTGAAAATTAATTCAAATATTTGTTGTGAAAATAAAAATGAATCAACGGAAATGGAAGTTAGCAAACTCATTTAAAAATTATGGAATTACACACAAAAGTTTTATAAGAATATAGGTCAATAACATAAATGCATTATTCAATTTGTAAATAAAATAAATGAAATTAAATAAAAATGTGACCAACCAAAAATTAAGACCTATATCATTCTCTAAGAAACCCTTCTAGTCTGCTATAGCATAATACTTACTGTACCTATAAGGCAGAAGAGCTTCTGCTCTTAGACTTTCTAGCCTATCTTCGCGTCTTTTATGGAACATGAACTTCTAGCCTTCTATTGAAGACCTTCTGGTGGGGTGGACTTTATAGTATTTCATGGAAATAAAATATTTGGACAATCTGGTCCTCTATGGAAGAATACCTTCTGGTCTTCTATGGAAGAATACCTTCTGGTCTTCTATGGAAGAAGACCTTCTGGTCTTCTATGGAAGAAGACCTTCTGGTCTTCTATGGAAGAAGACCTTCTGGTCTTCTATGGAAGAAGACATTCTGGTGTTCTAAGGATAAAGACCTTCTGCTCTTCTATGGAAGAAGACCTTCTGCTCTTCTATGGAAGAAGACCTTCTGGTCTTCTATGGAAGAAGACCTTCTGGTTCTATGGAAGAAGAACTTCTGATTTTCTACGGAAGAAGACCTTCTGGTTTTCCCTTCTTTTATATTTCAAGTAAAATTGCCTAGTGTAAATCAGGCCTTAAAAATCATCTAACGTATTTGGCATTTTTCAAAATTTTGTATTCTCCAATAATTTCACAAATATCATTATTGTTTTTGAAAACCCGTCTCCATGGCACAATCTTTTTACATATCTGATGCGAGCGCCAATGATTTTGAAAAAATCATAAAACTTCTAAACTGCGGTAAAGTTCGTTACCTTGGAACGCCGAAAAGAAAAATACGAACAGCCATCGAATTCTTCAAAACCTATGCTACCCATCGTTTTCTCGTTGAAGTTAATAATGAACTGGCAGATAAACTTCTCATTGGATATGCCGAGGTGAACAATGCTCCCAGCATACCAGCACTACCGGGCGATTGTTGGGAAAATTGGCTCGGACATCATTATTGTTGCCAACTGCCGCTAAGTCAAGGAAATACATTTTTCTTCAATTGTTTCATTTATCACAAGGACTATAATCCACAGTTGCTGCAATATGTTTTGTGTGAAATATTTCAACGTGAAAATAAAATTCGTTATATTTTGGCGATTGAAAGTCCCGAGTATCGCTATAAATATGATAAAGGTTGGTTAATAAATTTTCAAAAGATGAAATCGTAACACTTTTGACTTTTCAGATCGCCCAGATTATTATTGCCTGCAATCATTCTCCCTCGTGTATTATCCCAAATGTTTCAGTGCCATCACGTGTCCAAATACCCAACGGATCTATGTAATCCGTCGTGATGATGTTATACCCAAAATGCGCTATCGTCGTGCTTTGTATGCAGCATTTTTTTTTTTTTGGTGGGTTTAAATTATATTTTTGTTACAAATTTTGTTTCTTTCTCTGCAGACCTGAAGACAATGATGACATTGTTGATTTGGTAGATCGAGATCGTCCCGATGTCAAACAACAATTAGGTGAATATTATATAGCCGAAGAATTGTTATCGGAATCTACAAATAGTGTGCTAGTGATAACGGAGGTAAGAAACGATATCCAAGAAATTTAAGTCATTCAAAAGTAGACTTTATCGACTTATATGAAAGAAAAAATTTTGAACTACTATGGATACAGACCTTTCAGTCCTATACGAAGAAAGACTTTCTTGACTTATATAATCGAGAAGACCTCTTTGTTTTCTATAGATAGCATATCAGCAAGCTACATCTGACCTACTGACATTCTACAAAAAACTTCCACAGGTCTTCTATAGCAGGACATTCAAATCTTTTATAAAATAGATATTCTACTTCTGTAAATGAAAATCTTCCGGACTTCTAAAAAAACATCGTTTCTTCTTTCCAATATGAATTTCTACCGACGAGAACTTTCTGGTCTTTTATGGAAGACTCCCTGAAGTTTATGTAAGAAAACCGTCTGATCTTCTTTGGAAGATTACCTTTTTGGTTCATTATGTTAAAATATCGTCTGGTCTTTTGTCGATGAAAGGCTTTATTTTATCCATGTAAGAAGCATGACTGATGGTCTCTAGAAAAAGTTCCATTGAGCCCCTTCTGCCCCCTATGAAGGAAATCATTCTACTGTTCTAAGGAAGATGACCCACTCATTTTCTTTGTTAGATGACGCTCTGGAGCAAACACTTCAGATCTTCTAGGGAAAAATACTTTTGGGACCTCTATAAATGAAGATCCTAAAGATGGCTATGGAAGAATACCTTCCGATCCTCTATGAGAGAATCCCTTCTGTTATTATTATTATGGCCAGTCAACAGTAGACTTTATGGTTTTCTATGAAAAAAACCTTTCTGATTTACATGGAGACCTTTAAGTCCTTCAAAGAGAAAATTTTTTTTCTTTGTGGAATAAAAACAACCTCTGGGCTTGCATTAACGAGAAGACCTCCATGTTTTCTATAGATAACACATCAGCAGCCTATATATGGCTTACTGGCCTTCTACAAAAAATGTTCTCCTTGACTTCTTTACCAAGACTGTAATTTTTAATAGAGGATATATATATATATATATATATACTTTTTACTTCTGTGAATGAGAATTTTCCGAATTTCTTCTTTGCAATAAAAAACCTCTCTGATCGTCTCTAGAAGAAAATCTATTGAGCTTCTATAGAAGAAACCTGAAAGTAATCATTCTATCCTCTATGAGAGAATCCCTTTTATTCTTATATAAACAGAAGTTTTCTTATAATAAATAAAAGAATTATGATGGTATTTTTTGAAGAAGAACCTGTTGTCTCCTATGGCAGAAGAAGAGGCCCTGATTTGGTCAACATGCCAGGAGGCAACCAACAGACTTTCATTATATTTACAGTTTATGTACAGTTTCTCGTCTACAGAACAATGCCTTCCGATCTACTTTTTAAAAAATCACTGCTTGTCTCTGAAATAAGACCTTCTGTTACTCTATTGAAGAAGGTCAGTTGGTTCTTGAAACCTTAGTTCCATCGGAATTGATACCGAACTCTTCTATAATTGAAGACCTTCTGCCATTCTAAAAATGGAGATCATTTACTTCTATAGAACAAACAATCAAATCCGACCATCCTTGGTAACACTGTGCAACACAAAAAATTATTATAGAGAAATTCTAAAAAAAATAAACCTAACCGTATCTTAAATTGAGGTCTACATATTCGGTATATATATTATATATACTGATTTCTTTTGTTCAGTGACTTTTACTAAAATTAGATGGAGAATATTTTTTTATGTTATCTTAATATTTATACCCTTCACCACGCTGTGGTACAGGGTATTATGTCTTTGTGCATATGTTTATAACAGGCAAAAGCAAACGAGGTAGACACATGGTTCCTTTTGAGAATATGCATTGAATCACTTTCGGAGTCGATTTATGCATGTCCGTCCGTCTGTTAATGCTAAATTGTAAACAAAGTACAGGTCGCATTTATGATCCGATTGGGATGAAAGTTGGCATAGATCCCTTATTTGGCCCAAGGACGAACGCTATTGAAATTGGGAAAAATCGGTTCAGATTTAGATACAGCTCCCATATATAGTTTCGTTCGATTTGATGCAAATGGTGTACCAAAGTCCTAATATATTTTTCGATTTGCACAAAATTTGGCATAAAGTACTGAATTTGTTCCAGAATGATGTGTGCTAAGTTTCGAGAAAATCGGTTCAGATTTAGATATAGCTCCCATATATAGTTTCCTCCGATTTAAGGTAAATGGGACACCAAAATCCCTATATATCTTTCGATTTGCACGAAATTTGGCACAGCGTACGAAATTAAGTCTGCAGTCATGTGCGCTAAGTTTCGTGAAAATCGGTTCTGATTTAGATATAGCTCCCATATATAGTTTCGTCCGATTTTATGTAAATGGTGCACCAAAGTCCCCATATATCCTTCGATTTGCACGAAATTTGGCATAGCGTAATCGATTAAGCCTGGAATGATGTGTGCTAAGTTTCGTGAAAATCGGTTCAGATTTAGATATATCTCCCATATATAGTTTCGTCCGATTTTCTGTAAATGGTGTACCAAAGTCCTTATATATCTTTCGATTTGTACGAAATTTGGCACAGCGTACGAAATTAAGTCTTGAGTGATATGTGCTAAGTTTCGTGAAAATTGGTTCAGATTTAGATGTAGCGCCCATATATATTTTCCTTAGATTTTATATATTTTATGTTTTAAGTGTACACTAAAGACCCAAAGGTTGTACGATTAACGTATAGTTTTGTTGAAATCGTTTCATATTTAGATATAGCTCCCATTTGTATGTTCGTTGGAGTTAAGTTAAACGTCGCACCGGTTAACACGAAACGTATCAATGGTGAAGGGTATCATAAAGTCGGCCCCATCCGACTTTACTACTTTCCTTACTGGTTTTATCTTTTTAATTTATCTTAACCCTAAAATTAATTTTCACATTTTTACGTTTAGTTTCGAGTTTTCTTCCATTCTGAGACTTAAACTTTATGGCTATCATTTTTGTAGAATATCACTCCATTTTAAATAAGTTTTCAATCATTTCTGGAGAAAGGGAACGAAATGACCCCTTCAGAGAGTCAACTGAGTGTTAACGTATTAGACAAAAATATTCCTGAAGTTTATATCTGTAATATTGAAAAAGACACCATACGTATACCTAATATGAAGGATTTCGAGAAAACTTAATCCAAATATTTTCAAATGTCTTGGAAATTGGAAATATTGTCCCCACCCTATTTAGGTTACTTCCGTAAACTGTAAAATGCCGATACACGTGCCTTTAATAGTTAGCCCCTCTATCATAATGTTTTGGAATTTCCACAGTGGTCTGGTCGTCTATGGGAGACGAAGTTTTACTATTCTATTGAAAATGGGCTTCAGGATTTCTATGGAAGAAGACCCCCCAGTATTCTGTAGAAAAAAGACCTTCGAGTCTTATGTGGTAGAAAACATTCAAGTCTTCAATGACAGAAGACCACCCGGTCTTGTATTGAAATAATCCTCCTCCTCCTATACAAAATATCAGATCGCCCTTCGAAGACGACAATTTCCTTCCAGAAACAACTTTCACTTTATTTGGCTGGTCTACGAAGACTCACGCGGTCCATGATTCGCCATCTGCGACAATCATATAAACCTCGTTTGAAGCACCATGATCGTATCAGTTAAAAGAGAATTGAGCAGAGAAAAGTAGAGTCGACCCAACACCTTGTTTCATTGTTTTCAGCGATTATAAAATTGTTCGGAGCCCAACGAGAAAATTATCTGATTTTAAGGCTAGGGGTTCAGCAATATAGAATATATGCAGATATAAGAAATACCCAATGATGCCTCTATCTCACGGAATGCCACATGACAACCTTGCATTGTCAGTTCTGTGGCATTGCATTGACACAACTGTCATTTACATGTCACTGTAAACAACACAACACATGTTGATACGTCAAAATGAATTGAGAACAGTTCTGCTAAAAATGTTAAATTTTCCCATGGATATGTCAGATGGCGTCAGGCAAGACTGAGTGTTATCTAGACCAGAATACGTTATATCCTCGTTACTAGGTCTTCTATGCAAAACCTTCGGGGTTTCCATAGTGGGAAAGATCTTCTGAGTAAACAAAAAAGGCTGCAGGATATTTTCCAAAGTAGTCATTCCTATCCAATCAGGATCCTCTATAAATAAGATATTACTGGAAGAAGAGTCTTTAAGGACTGACATATCAAAATATATTCGTATCTTTTACAGAAAAAAGTGACCTTCTGACTTCTTCTAGAAGTTATATATCCTATTATTGTTATGAAATTCTATGGGTCTATGAAATTCTATGGCCTCAATTTTGTAATAATTTCATTCTATTCCCCTACACCCTATTCCTCATAGATTTCCCTCATTACGGCTGGTTTCATTTGGTTAAATGGTCATGTGGATATCTTGCACCTCTTGCAAAATTATGATCTTGATGCATTTGGGAATCTGATTAAATTCAATCCAAAAGAACTATTCAAGGAGAAGCAAATTATTGTAAAGTACGTACGAATACATTTTGATCCGAATATCGTGCAACTTTTATAAAATTCATACCTATAACAGCTCAATTCGCCGACAGCCCATAAATAAACTTTTTATTCATCGAGAAATCGATGAGATATTTAAAAATTTAAATGATGATTATTCCAACCCTCCATCGGATGATGAAGATTTACAGAGGTAAGCCAAATTTGAAGAAGGTATTTTGATAGTTTTTTTTTCAGATGAAGAATGGAACTGTTTTTCTTCCAGGAATTCTTCTGATGAATCCAATGTTAGTGACGAAAGACAACTGGAATGTTTTGAGAAATTGATGAAATTTGTTGAAAGTATTTATTTGAAAATTTATAGAAGAAGTTAGGCTTAGCTGAATTAGGTTTCTATTGGGAAAAATTCAATTCAGCTTGGCGGAATATGGTTTCCACTAGGAAAACTTCAATTCAGCCTGGCTGAGTAAGGTTTTCATTATGAAAAACTTCAATTCAGCCTGGTTGAATTAGGTTTCCCTTAGGAAAACTTCAATGCCATTCATTTCAGTGTGGCTGAATTATGTTTCCCGAGAAATCGATGAGATATTTAAAAATTTAAATGATGATTATTCCAACCCAAATTTGAAGAAGTTTTTTCCAGATGAAGAATGGATCTGTTTTTTCTTAGAAAAACTTCAATTCAGCTTGGCTGAATTAGGTTCCCATTAGGACATCTCCAATTCAGCCAGGCTGAATTATGTTTCCCTTAGGAAAACTTCAATTCAGCCAGGGTGAATTATGTTTCCCTTAGAAAAACTTCAATTCAGCTTGGCTGAATTAGGTTCCTATTAGGAAAACTTCAATTCAGCCTGGCTGAATTGTGTTTCCCTTAGGAAAACCTCAATTCAGCCGGGCTGAATTATGTTTCCCTTAGGAAAACTTCAATTCAGCCTGGCTGAATTGTGTTTCCCTTAGGAAAACCTCAATTCAGCCGGGCTGAATTATGTTTCCCTTAGGAAAACTTCAATTCAGCCTGGCTGAATAGAGTTTCCATTAGGAAAACTTCAATTCAGCTTGGCTTAATTAGAATTTCTTCTAATATTTTTCTAAAAAAAATCTTGCTGTTACAGAACTCAAAAGTTATGACTTCTATGTGAAATTGCGTAAACGACGTAAAAATATTCTATACAATATTTCAACTGAAAATCCCAATGCTGCTTTGGATGCACAATCAAATGTGTTTGTCATACATTTATTTGGTTTGATGCAACCACATGATCATCGTAGATTATTTCGTTATTTACTTACCGGGTTTGCTGCATTTCCTCAGCGCAACTATTGTCTGCTTTCAATATCGGTTGCCCAGCCGATGACGCCGATGTTATTTGAAATGTTGAAATATTTTATTGTAAGTCCGCAAGTATCCCACATTCCGATCTTAAATATATTTTTTAACAATTTTCCAAAATCCATAGCCTGTTACCCCAAGACCAGGTTGTAAAATCGATGAACATCTCTTCATTACACATCGAAGTGCCATTTATGGCGACATCACGCTATATCGTGTAGAACCCGGTGATGTTGAAGATATCAAACGGCTGCTAAGTGATGAAGTACCCACCATTATGGCCATGCCGAGAAGCACCCAGCAAACACGACGCTCTACCATAGCTTCACGAATGTTATTTAGCATAGCTGCCACAGATACTTCCCACCTATCCATTATTGCTGATGATGAGGATCAATTGCAATATGATTTACGTATTGTTCTGGCAATTTTGGAGAATATCTTTTCGGATCCTTTTAGTAAATATCAAGGTTTTATTATCAAGTGTGGAGATTCTACCCAGGCGAAAACGGAAAATGTTACAACGGGATTTGTTATATTGAGGTGAGAGAGAATTCAATTTATTGCCATGGAATCATTTTATATACCCCCTGGTTGGTTTCTCAAGATCCTTTAATTCGAATGCCAATTTGGAAAAACATTTCCTGCTGCCCAAACTCGCCGAAGAACCAACACGTAATATGGCCGAAATTATGATCTTGAAATTACATCCCCTGTTTCATTTTCAAGCTGATGTGGTGTTTCGTGAACTGGCACGCCAGTCGAATTGTTGGCACTTTTATCATTTTCGTCCCACGGTAGGCGGATTATTTATACGAATTAGTATCACCACATAACATGGTAAACTTATAATATTCCCAGCTCTACCATTGCCTCTCAAATGATCTGTTGAAGAACATGCAACCATTGGAACCTCGACGCAACAAAAAATTATGGTTTGAAAGACCACAACAGGAGGCAGAACTGCCATCTTCTCAGACAAAGTTCTCAATGCCGGATTTTGATATACATCCCATTGATTATGCCCAAGACCACTTTGCAGCATATCAAAACAATCTATCCCATTCGGCGTATTTTGGCCACACCATGAATATTGTGATTTTGGGGTTTACCGATATTTGCAAGGCCTTTTTAAGATTAATGATTTTCAGTTGGCAGGGAATGAAGTAAGTTAATAAATTAAATTTAATGAATTGACTTAATTCAGCTGGCCTGAATTGAAGTTTTCCTAATAGAAAACTTATTCAGCCAGGCTGAATTGAAGTTTTCCTAAAAGAAAACTTATTCAGCCAGGCTGAATTGAAGTTTTCCTAATAGAAAACTTATTCAGCCAGGCTGAATTGAAGTTTTCCTAATAGAAAACTTATTCAGCCAGGATGAATTGAAGTTTTGTAATGGAAACCTTATTCAGCCAGGCCGAAAAGCTCTTTTCCTAAGGGAAACCTTATTTAGCCAGGCTGAATAGAAGTTTTTCTAATCGAAATCTTATTAAACAAAGCTGAATTGAAGTTTTCCTAATGGAAACCTTATTCAGCCAGGCTGAATTGAAGTTTTCCTAATGGAAAACTTATTCAGCCAGGCCGAAAAGCTCTTTTCCTAAGGGAAACCTTATTTAGCCAGGCTGAATAGAAGTTTTTCTAATCGAAACTTTATTAAAGAAAGCTGAATTGAAGTTTTCCGAATGGAAACCTTATTCAGCCAGGCTGAATAGAAGTTTTCCTAATGGAAACCTTATTCAGCCAGGCTGAATTTAAGTTTTCCTAATGGAAACCTTATTCAGCCAGGCTGAATTGAAGTTTTCCTAATGGAAACCTTATTCAGCCACGCTGAATTGAAGCATGCCTAATAGAAACCTTATTCAGCCAGGCTGAATTGAAGTTTTCCTAATGGAAACCTAATACAGCGAGGCTGAATTGAAGTTTCCCTATTGGAAACCTAATTCAGTGAGGCTGAATTGAAGTTTTCTTAAGAGGAACTATATTCAGCCATGCTGAATTGACGTTTTCCTAATGGAAACCTAATTCAGCCGGGCTGAATTGAAGTTTTTCTAATGGTCCTGTTTTGGTCCTGTTTTTCTATTCTAATAATCCCATTCCCTTTTGCATAGAAATATTTCCGATAACTGCAACTGTTTACCCCATGTACGCATAACCGTGATCTGCGATCCTGGTGTTATGGAGGCAGAATATGAAAACTCTTTCCGATGCAGTAGCTGTGAAAACGATGCCGATTGTTGGGTAAATTATCGCAACTGTGATGCATTTGTTCGCGATGTTACGGAACGTATGGATCTAAGGAATTGGGTGAGGTTTGTGAGCGGTAAAGTCAAGGCAATTGATACGTATGTTCCAAATACCTTCCGAAGATGTGTGCTTATTCAAAAATATTCTTCCTCTAGAGATAATCACCTTGTCAAATTGGAATCGGAATGTGAAATTTACTATGAAACATTGTTACTAATGTGTCACACCGAATATGGGTTACCCTCTGGAATGATCACCTCGGAAGAGTTGCCATCAAATTATATTGAAATCAATAGCAGATTTGATAAATTACTTTTCTATCATCAGTTGAGATTTTTTCAACGTGATGTATCCCGAAGTCAATGTCGCATTGTGGTCTATGGTCTCCATATCAGAGCCTTTGAATTTATTAATTTCTTAATTGGGCATGCGGTGCCGGGGAAATCGATTTGCCTTGTAATGCCCCATGAGATGGCCAATTTACAAATGGGTCTAATGCTGAATGATTCGAGTATTGATGTTCGAATTGAGGCGATACTTCGAGAAATGATTGAAGATTTGGGTGTGACGATTTATGAACGCATGAATATTGAGGAGATTCAATACGCGGGAGATGGCAAAATTATTAAGGCCGTCATGTTCCGCAGCTATTTGGGAGAACAGAAATTATTACTGAATTGTGATTTCTTTGCGAGCTATTGGGAGAAATACCTATCCGATGAGATGCAGGAGGGTAAGTATGTCGTAATATGAAAGAACTATACAATTCTGTATTAAAAATTTATAAATTTCTGGAAACAAATGATCCTTACGAGTCATATTCTTCAGTTCTTGAAGAAGCTGAATTGGATACCGAAGGTCAGCATATTTTAATAAATGAAAATTACCAAACATCCGATCGATGTGTCTATGCCATTGGTAATTTTGTCAAGCAACGCAATGAACCGAATCATCAGTATCGTTTTGTTTGTCCACAGGAGGCAGCTGAAAAGGTTTGGTTTGACATTAATTTTAAATCCTAAACAACGAAAATTTTGTTTCCTTCAGATAATTGTCGCTTTGGGACTCCAAGCAAATGATGCCAACGCTAAGGAAGAGAAATTTTCCAAACCCTATCTCTTTCAAGCCCAACTACCGATGGAGTTTTATTTCTTTAAAATCACCACACCCAAACGTTATTTAGCCAATCATTTGGATAATGAATATGGATTTCCGTTGATAACCTATTCGAATGGAGATTTTAGTCGTGTTCGTCTCAACGAACATGGCATGGTCGAGGAAATTGTCATTGTTACGAAAAAGGTAAGGAATTTTGGAGAAAATGCAGATTCGTGATCAATCGATAAGTTTAGAAATTCGCGGTATGTAGTTGAGCATAGAACTACTTTTCGGTATTTTAAGTCAATTTACGATGTAAAATTATTCGCGTTCTCGATACGGTACTTGAACTTAGTAGAATAAAAAGTCATACAAATTACATAAAGTCCAGTTCCGACTCCTCTGTTTCCAAAATCAAAAAGGTTGCAACTTGTGTTGACTGCATCCATAGAGAAGTTGGAGACAGGACATTTGAACATGTGTAAATTCTCGGGTGGTCTTAATACACATGTCGGACATGAGTTAGGTATCGTACACAATAGGAATATAAGCGTTCGCACCGTCCTGACATTAGCTGTTTTAAAACTACACGTGTTTGCCTTGGCTCTTCTTTTCATCTGCTATTATGGATATATGGTGGTTCCCGAATACCATATAGGTATGTTGTTTTAGGTTTTCACATGTGTACCTTTAAATATCTCTCTACCCAGAAAAACCCAATAAGGAAAGTAGTAAAGTCGGACTGGGCCGACTATGTGATACCCTTCACCACATTGGGTATATTTAGCATATGTATCTTAAAGTCGAAATTATATATGTAAGCTATGCTATATTTATATCTAAACCGATTTCGAGGAAACTAATCAGAGATTAATTTATATTAACTTCAGTACGTTGTGTTAGTCCGATTAGCTTTGGATCATTAGTGCACCATTTACTTAAAATCGGACGGAAATATATATAGAGGTGTAGGTAAATCTGAACCGATTTTCACGAAACTTTGCACACATCATTCTAGACTCAATTCAGTACGCTATCCCAAAATCGAAAGATATATGGGGACTTTGGTGCACTATTTACATATAATCGGACGAAAATATATATGGGAGCTATATCTAAATCTGAACCGATTTCCACGAAATTTTGCACACATTATTCTAGACTTAATGTAGTACTCTATGCCAAAATTCGTGCACATCGAAAGATTTGCAGGGACTTTGGTGCACCATTTACCAAAAATCGGGCGAAACTATATATGGGAGCTATATCTTAATCTGTACCGATTTCCAGGAAACTTAACACACATCATTACAGGCCTAATTCATTACGCTGTGCCAAATTTCGTGCAAATCGAATGATATATAGGGACTTTGGTGCACCATTTACCTTAAATCGGACGAAAATATATATGGGAGCTATATCTAAATCTGAACCGATTTTCAGGAAACTTAACACACATCATTAAAAGCCTAATTCATTACGCTGTGCTAAATTTCATGCAAATCGAAAGATATATAGGGACTTTGGTGCACCATTTACCTTAAATCGGACGAAAATATATATGTGAGCTATATTTAAATCGGAACCGATTTTCAGGAAACTTAACACACATCACTCTATACCTAATTCATTACTCTGTGCCAAATTTCGTGCAAATCGACTCATATATAGGGACTTTGGTGCACCATTTACCTTAAATCGGACGAAAATATATATGGGAGCTATATCTAAATCTCAACCGATTTTCAGGAAACTTAACACACACCATTCTAGACCTGAAAGATATATAGGGTTTTTGGTGCACCATTTACCTTAAATCGGACGAAAATATATATGGGAGCTATATCTAAATCTGAACCGATTTTCAGGAAACATAACACACATCATTCCAGGCCTAATTCATTACGCTGTGCCAAATTTCGTGCAAATCGAATGATATATAGGGACTTTGGTGCACCATTTACCTTAAATCGGACGAAAATATATATGGGAGCTATATCTAAATCTGAACCGATTTTTCCCAATTTCAATAGGGTTCGTCCTTGGGCCAAATAACCGACCTATGCCAAATTTCATCCAAATCGAATCATAAATGCGACCTGTACTTTGTTCACAAAAATACATGGACGAACAGACGGACATGCGTACATCGACTCAGAAAGTGATTCTATGCATATTCTCAAACTCAAGAACTATGTGCCTATCTCGTTTCCTTTTGCCTGTTACAAACATATGCACAAAGACATAATACCCTGTACCACAGTGTGGTGAAGGGTGTAAAAATGGGGTTATATGGGGACTACCCCAAAATGGGGGTGCATATTAATATTTTTTGTTGGGAAATTTGTTACCATATACGACTACAAAATACCAAATTTCAGCGACTTCGGTTGAAAAACGTGCTAAGGACCTGAATATAGCGAAAATTGGGGGTACCCTTATATGGGGGATACCAGAAAAATTAGATCTATATTTATAATTTTTGGTGGATATATTTGGCACCCAATAAGAACCAAATGTACCAACTTTTACCGAATTCGGATCAAAAACGCGCTCAAGAACCCCAAAATACCGACATTTTGGGGGGTACCCTTATATGTGGGCCACCAGAAAAAATGGACATATATTTATAATTTTTAGTGGAGAGATTTCCTACCCAATAAGAACTCAAAGTACTAAATTACAGGCAATTAGATTGAAAACTACGACCAAAACCCCCAAAATACTGAAAATTAGAGGGTATCGTTATATGGAGGCTCCCAGAAAAAATGGACCTATATGTATAATTTTTTATGGAAAAATTGGGTGCCCAATAGCAACTCAATGTACCAAATTTCAGCGAATCCGGTTGAAAAACGCGCTCAAGACCTCAAAATACCGAAATTTGGGGGGTACCCTTATATGGGAGCTATGCCTAAACATGGACCGATATATCCCATCTTCGAACTTGACCTGCCTGCAGGCAAAAGACGACTCTGTGCAAAATTTTGGCAATCTGTCTCAACTCTTTTAGACGCTAGAGTGATTACAACAGATGGACATGCTTAGATCGTCTTCGAATTTTACGCTGATCAAGAATATATACATTATAGGGTCGGAAATGATTATTTCGATGAGTTACAAGCGGAATGACAAAATTAATATACTTGGCACCAAGTGATTATCATCTTTTTCTAGCATTGCAAAATTTCGTTAATGATAAAAAATTGGTATCTAGGAAGGATTGTGAAAATCGACTACTAGAGTTTTTTTACAAATAGTGAGCAGGACTTCTGTGAGGGAGGCATTATGAAGTTACCTTTAAAATGGCAATAAATCATACAACAAAACGGTTCATATTTGGCCCAAATCGGACATTCCGAAGCATGTTAAATAATGTCTTGTAGTTCATATAATAATAAGGGTTTTCTGTTTCCCCCAACCTAATACTAGTAAAATTATTTGGATCCTGACTTTTAGTTTTTGATACAAAAATCAGGATATTTAACATACACAATCCATAATTTCCCTTTCCAGAACAAGGACTACGATTTCTTGAAATTCTTTTGTGGACGACACGAATTACTCCTCAATAATTTACGCTCACGTTGGTATTTGAAAGACATTGAAAGTTTTCTGGATTTCTTTCAAGAACCCTGGGTGGAATTGATTATGAATGATCACTTCGAAGAATTGCAAATGATAAATAAACTATTGATATCACCCACTGCTGAGCAGGTTATGAAAATGGTAAGCGAAACCTAACAAAATATCTAGTAACAAAATTTTTAATTTGTATTCCTTCACCTCACAGCAAAACACCGATCGTACGACGCGCCACAAAATTATGCGCAGCATTTGTCAAGATTTGGGTATAACAAATCAATTGGAATGTACTGCTTTGGAATTTCTAAGAAAACATCGTTGTGAGTTCTCCACAGACATAGCCTTACCTGAAGATTTTCCCAAGCCACCAACCAAAACAATGACAGATTTTTAAAAACGCTTATATTTTAATATGATGTTTTTTTATAAATGCAGTTTTTTATTAAAAAAATCTTTTGTAATGTAATCAAATCTCTTTCCCTTTTTTCTTTTGAAACTCTCTCCTCGCTTAGGCACCTAACGAACACTGCGTCACAAATTGTTTGGCCAGTGAACATTCGGCACTCTCTGTCCAACGGTTAGCTGGACAATTTTTAAAGTATTCCATATACGTGCAACCCAACAGCATTCCAGCAAATGGACTGCAACCCCTTTGCAGAATACTACGACCCATTGGCAGTTGTTTAAATGCCTGCAATTTTCTCTCCGTATTGGGCTGACATTTGCGGAACGCTTCCAACATTACATTAGCATATTCGGAATCATTTGAGAATTTCATTTGTAAATCTGTACGTATGGCATTTAGATCGATACTATCAGCTTTTGTCATATATTTCGATTCAGTTAGAATACACTGGGCTAAACACTGTAAATGGGAAAATTGGAAGATTTCGATTAGGGTCATTATTTTTCGGTTTGTTTACAAACTTACTGTAGCTGTTGCAACACTTGGCTGTGGATCCGACGGCTGACCAGTAATGCCCATACGAAGGGCACATTTTTCTGTAACATCATCTCGACCACCATCTTTACAGCAGGTTGCAGGATCCTGAAAAAATAAATAATTAAAAAAATTCACATTATTATTTTTGCTACTACTATTCAGGTAAAAAGAAACAAATTCTCAGATCAGTATTTACGATTTTCAATGGAAAATAAATCTCAGATCATCAGAGCTAACACTTGTTTTATATAGAAAACACCTAGGGCTGAAATCTTATAAAAAACAAGCAGAGTCTTTACAGACTGAAGATTTTGGGCGCATAAGGATTTTAGTAGGACAAACGCAAAAACCATTCTATGTCATGACCTGTTCCAATTCATTAGTGAGGGTGGGGTGTATTTAAACATTTGTATTCGGTTTGCAGCATCTCTAAATATTTGCCGGATATCCCATAAAGGGTATTATTGATCAGAATACAAAAAAAGATTTATGAAGTCTCTAAATAAAGGTCCGCAACTTTTCATACACTCCACCTAATTGTCATTCACCTGTCTCTCTGTCTGTTGAAATCACGATAGAGCTCGTAATATTTACATTTGTACTACTCATAGGATGTTTGGTATTGAAAATGGAATATATCGGTCCAAGATTTGGTATAGCCCTTATATAACGGTCCCACAAATATTCCGTATTTTGGAATTTTTGCCACGTTTTATTGCAAATCTCCCCGACAAAGCAAATCTCTTTGCCAAAAAAATCGATATATGAACACTTTTTAGGATAGTCCCTATATAACGCTACTTTGGGGACAGCAAAGCCGAATTTTGTATTTTTACATCGTGGGCAGTATTTATTATGTTTTATGCATTTTAAAATATATCTGTAGAAAAATCTCGTATTTATTTTCACCGGAAAAAAAATTACATCGAAAAACTCCTGTAGTTTTTGTAACTCTGCAAGAACCCGGAATTACTGCCAATAACAGCCTTTTCGTTGGGGACATTCGGTTAAAAACATGAACCTATATCGAAATAGTTTTAGAAAAACCTTCAAAATATCGGAAAGCCAAATTACAGCCTATTGGGTTAGAAAACGCTTTGAAAAAGGCGGAGGTACCAAATGGAATGAACGCATTTTCCCTATCTTCGAAATTTGTTTTAGATTGGAAGAAGTATTACGATGTGCATAGTTTGGAACAAATTAATTATTTTCTCGTGACCACAAGCCAGCCAGTGTCGGTTTTTTTTTTTATAACCTCCAACATGAAGTGAAGTGTATATAAAATTAGCCATTCCGTTAGCAACACAACAAAATATTCACCGTAGATTCCATAAAAAATATATGTTCTTGGTCAGAATTAAATTCTGTGTGTTGAAATCACGATAGAGATCGCAATATTTGAGATTGTCCCCGTATAACGGTGCCCTCAAATATTCGGTATTATGGACATTTTTGAGAAGTTTTTCAACCGAATTAGTTGTAATTTGCTGTGTTTGGTTCTAATTGGGTATAAAATGCTTAATATTGGTGCACTTGGTGCACTTCAGTATTTTGGAGTTGTAGACAGCCTTTTTAGCAGATCAGCTGTAATTTAGTTTTTTTGGATTCAATATGGATCAATATTGGTTCACTTTTTAAGGAA